ACAGAAAGCTGTCATGCTTGTGTCCTCTAGAATCGACTGGGCGTCCGGGGGGGACGACGGCCGTACGGGTGCCTAAATGACCAAAACCAGCATGAGGGGGGAATTGAACATCAGGAAAGGAAAAAACATGTCAAGAACTGGTTGCTGTTTTGGTGCTCTTGTTGTGGTCAAAGAGAGAAAGAAGGAGAACACACAGGTACAGCCAAAGGACTTTAGTCTTGAGATGCTGATAAATGGTAGAGCGGCACTACACTGTTCATTGTCTGTGAACTGCCAAGCCCGCTCCCAGCTAGAAATGGCAAGATATCATACAACAAAGCAATCTGTCCGGGAAACCCACAACGAGTGATCTCTTGTGATAACAGATTGTCGGTCCCGGTAGTCGTTGGGTTCTGACTCGTGCGTGCTGATATAATGTTCAGTATCCTTTTTTTTGCAAATTGCGCAATGTGGCGTGAAGGAATTCCAGAACGTTACCGTTGGGAACGAATTGTCTTGGCCACTCTACCTATCCATAACTCACATAGAGTCAGCTCCCACAAGCACCGCCTCAGATGATAGAATTCTTGGAAAATCTTCCGGTAGGAGCCTGAGCGCTGTTACAGCTATTATTATAGTGTTGCAGGGGCTTTGTATCTTTTACCGGCAGTGACCATTCATACCCGGCTCGGGGTTTTTTTTTTTTGAGAAAACATGACTACTTTAAAATGCTATCAGCAGCAACATGGTGGTTTGACGGCAGATGGCTACCCCCAGACCAATTCTGTCATTTTCATGCTAGAGAGCCTGTATATCAAGCCGGGACTTTCAATCTCTCAGTCCTAATGGGACGGGATTTGCTGTATCTCCTGCACCACGTGTTGGATAGTTTGGTAATAACTCATTGGGGGGGAAGCTGAAACCCTGCGTTCTTACTTGTTCCGAGAGGTTTGTTGGTTCTTCGCATCCTAGCCACTGCAATGGCCTGGGGTTTGGTGCACTGTGGCTGTGGGAGAGGATACTTAGCACTGGCAGGTATATTTGTACTTTTTTCCGCTGGGGTGGAAGCATTGAATGCACTATAGAGGCAGGATATATCCTCAAAGAAAAAATAAATAAACGCCGATCAATGATATATAACGACAGGGCTCCTCGTGCAGCAGTCATCGCTGGGATGCCAGTGATATAAAAGGTAGGTCTGGCTGTGAGCATAGGAGAATTTTGAGGGGGGATCACGGATCACAGATTCAACCTGCACCCGAAGGCCATCAGGTATCCGGAGATGAGTAATGACGTATCATAACAGAAAAGTATAATGGTACTATATCCATGACTTGTGATAACCTCGTTCAGGGTATTGCATCAAACTCTCAATTTGGAGGCTACAAGTGGGAAGAAACTATATTTGGCAAGGTCAAACACAAGGAGTGATACCGTATGATTGGCCAACCATCTGCCGGTGGGGTGCGATAGAACAATGATAAAACTGAAGGTGATCATACTAGATAAAATAGGCAAATACGATACCGCACCAGCTTATGTGTCCCAAACTAATCACAATTATCAACTATAAAATACATGTGCCCAACGCATCTCCCCTCAATTCTCCTTCCCTGTCCACCCATCCTACACTATCCCATCCTCATCAAAAAATAAACCAGCCTTGAAACCGAAAAACCGTAGCAAAAAAAGACCTCACCTACCCCTGCCCTGCAAACGCCGTCCACACTCCTGCCTTCAACCGATCCACACTCTCACCCGTAAGCCACAGCCCCCGCTCCTCACCCATCCTCTCACAAAACATAAACAGCAGCTTAACTCCCCTAAGCCGATCCCTGCTAACCCCGCTAACACTATCTCTCTCAAGAACCAACCTCGTATCCACAATATTGCTATCAACCCCATCAGCACTAAGCAATAGTGCTCTCTCGGACTTATCCAGTGAGCTAAAGGCCCGTAATCCCAATAGCCACTCTAGGGAAGTGTTGTTAGTTTCCGTCTCGTCGAGGGCTTGCAGCGTCGCCTGGAAGACGGTGGAGGTAGAGGCGTGTGCTGTGCGACGGTGGACGTATATCGTTTGCGAGCTACGAAAGGAGTCGAGATGCGCGGGGTTATTGGCGAAGTCGAGGACCACAGTCCAGTGGTGTGGGGAGGCGGTGGTTACTGAGGTAATTTGGGTGAGTTCGGGGAGGAGGCAGGGGGCATTCCTGTGCAGTTCTTCACCTGTGCGGAGGGTTACGGTTATAGGAATTGCACAGGGTCGGTGAGTCTCCACGTCCCGGGCTACGAGACAGCGGGCTTCGGCTGCAAGGACCCAAAAGTGGCGGAAGGCTTGGAGGTGGGATTTGTTGTCGAGAATGGAATTTGGAAATAGTGGGTAGAAGGCGCAGAAAAGGGAGGCGACAGCGGTGCTCGTGGTGCCGAAGGCGAAGGAGCCATTGCCTAAGAATAGAGCACCGATTGCAAGGTGAGAGGCTACATGGCTTCCGTATGGAGTATCGGCGTCAACGCGGCCATGGAGCTTTCGGAGTCGCCGGAAGACGACGACATCACCGGTGCCAGCCATGACAGCAGAGGCAGCGAGTGCTACGAGATCCTGGCAATTCCTCACGGTTGCCCTAGTCAGCCGTTGATCATGATTCAACGCTGTTACCTCCGATTAGCCTCATTTCGCCTCATCAAACTATTTGGTGGTTTGTAAGGACATACCAGGCAAACAGCAAAGCCTGATGAACTGGTCCAAATAGTGAATTAGCACGTTTCTCGCACTTTCATCTCCACTCCCAGCGTATCTCAGTCCAACACAAAAGCACAGCCCGGCAATAACGTTGAAAAACGGTAGGTCTTCGCTATCGAGTCCCCGTATATTGTCAAGTTTATAACGCTCTCTCAAGAAGGGCCGTAAGCTAGCCTTAATCCATCCAAAGCTGCCATCAATCCCATCCCACATGATCAGGTTCTTTGCCACAGTTCTAAGTAAAAATATATCGGGCCGGACGTAGTCGAATAGATGGATTGTATCAGGGACATCGACCTTTCTAGCCAATGCCTCGTCATTAGTTTTCATATATATCAGTGCCAACGCCACTGTTGCTCCCGCAGTGGCCTTGTCTAGTACATGAACTTGCGAGACCTTCTTGCTGCCCACAGCCAATGCCAGCAATCGTTCTACAAGATTCATATCGTGTAATCCCCTAAGGTCTTTTCCGGATCCCAAGTTAATAAACCCGAGAGCGAACCCTGCTGCAAGTCTGTAACCTTCATCCCTCAGAGTATCCGTAGGAACGCAGTTGTCAAGGATCTCTGCAAACTCAATCTCGCTAAGCATCACCTCGCTCATCCTACGGTGCTGAGAGCCACAATATAGTAGTCCAATTCCCATGATACCTGCTGTTTGTGTGAGAGGGCTCAAGTTAAGTTCCGCACTCCCAAGTGGCAACAACCTTGTTACGTGAACCGAAAGAAGCTTCGTGATCGTAGTATCCATAGTCCCGAGATAGCTCGCGCTAAGGCCTAAGAGTAACCCTATTGACACCATAGTATGTTTTGGCGTAAGATAGTTGAAAGCATGCCATTTAGCAATGTTCTTCAGATGCCCGTTTAACCCAAGGCCTAGCAAGAACCCAGCGTGTCGATTTGTTAGCTCATTAGGCTTATTAAAGACAATCCAGCTTGTATCTATCTCTTTGGCTTCCCTCGAAATGCTGACTCCTGCCGCAACACCCGCATGAAAAAACGCCCAGCAAACCTTTTCCTCACTATAAGTGCTCTTATCTGCCGACACTGTCGTTCCGCTCGGCTTCATAACGGTCGAAAGATTAAACGCTGATATTGGGAACTTTTCCGTTAGTAAAGGTATTCGCGCCGAAAAATTGAATAGCCCTCTCCCCGGAGGAACAGCTAAGGTGCGGACTGCTACATGCTGTGAGAGCTCCTTTTGCGCATTCAAAGTATCCTGTTCGCTCCAATGTGGCTCAGGTATGCACCTTGCGATAGCAGGTTTGTTAGTTGTGAGTAGCTTTGCAGCTTCCGCCGTACGTCGATCCTCCTTGAATATAAGCCTTGAGACAGCTAACCGATCATGCTCTGCAAGGTGATCGTAAGACCCTATGGTCTCGTTTTCAAAAGTTGAATTGCAGATGTTATGGACATCCCTCATCGCTTCGTGGGTTGGGGTCTAGCGAAAAGTCGGTATCAAGACCACACTACCCAGGGGCTTTGAGCACTTACACTTTGCCATTTTGTTCCTCCCTCTTTCCTGCCCTTGCCTGGCTCAATCAGCATTCTTAAATCTTTCCTGCCAACCAAGTCCAATGCTTGCACCCCCCAAGTAGTCGGTGGTTGTTCTTGACATCTTGCAATAGCCTCCCGAAGTGGCACAGCAATCCCTTCCGGGAGCCTTTCTAGACTCGCGGCATTCATCTTCAATTCAACCATGCGAGCAACAACATCCACATCTGTAGCACCTGGAGCAGTTAGTGTGGTGTATATCTCAGTAACATTTCGTGTTCTGGGTGTAAGTCTCGCAAAAACGCGTTTCTGTACTGGTTGTGCCGGAGGAAGTGGCGGCGGCGAGAAGGGATTTCTAGCACGAGAAGTGCCCTGCGATGTTGAATATTGACTTGACGCTGATGAGCCGGAGGACCCGACAATATCCTGTAATGTCATGAATGGTGTCTGAGTGGCCCCGTTTAAACAACCAATTAACCAGTCGTATATTGAGGGCATCCGGAAAGGTTGTTGAGGAACGTCGATAATAGTTATCGGGGCTGATAAGTTAGCGACATTCCCCCCAGATCCTCGGGTAGACAACTTCTCATTACATTCATCATATTCCCATCCCAGCATCTCGAGGTCCTCAAGCATGTATTCTTCAACCCACTCGGACCAGCCCAGCCAGGTAGCCAACTGCCTCAATAACGGGCAAAGCCGTCTTCCAGCGCCCTCCATAGCAACATCTAATTTCCACTCCTCCCGGATCAACTGTAGTGCTACAAGCAACACCGCCAGTCCGTTTTTGCGGATCTCCTCAAGAGCTTCACGGCTCCCAAAATATTCATCTTCAACGGCCTGCCCCATTGGAGTCTTCAAGAACTCCCTTGCAAGTGAAATACAATCTGTAAAAAACCTATTCATCTTCCGCTGCTCAGGGGTGCTGGCCATTGCACTTCTCGCTTTGGTAGGGCTAGCCTTCACAGGAGGTCGATTAACTTGCGAGAGAATTCGCTCATCGTCTTCCTCTACCATCCAGCTCCATGCAGCCGACCTCAAATATTCTGGAGCACTTCCCCATTCACCCTCACTGCTAATCATATCCTCCCATTCCTTCGCAGCAACGACACTAGCGCTTCTAACAAAACCTGCGCTTTTCCTCTTTAGTACTACCCTCGGCTCTGGTACTGATGGGACCGAAAGCAGAAAAATCGTGATCACGAACGCCCGCCACTCATCCACTTCTGGCACTTTGCTGGGGCCAGATGGTGCCCCGGTCATAGACGGTAAGTTGAATTCAGGGTGCTCATTAACGCTCAGCCATTTTGCAACTTCAACCCAAGTTCCCCACATTCCTTCTCCCGCTATTGCGCCAGATGAGGCCCCAAGTATAACCTTTACGGTTTCTAAGCAGGTCTTGACTAAAGCCTCTCTTGGGGCCATCGTGACACCTATTCTATGGCCTACGCCATCTCCGTCAACCACCGTTACTCTTCCACCAGCTTCACTATATTCGAGTCTCTGATATCTATCCGGACTAGTTGATAGAGTTCTAGCAAATCCTTTCTTTCGGCTCCCCCGCCTGCTTCCATCTTCACCCACCACATTGGTGTTCCATCTAGCCAAGGTTGGGGGTAATACAACTCGGATACTAGGGCCCCAAGGAGAATAAAGATACAATTCCCCGCCATCAGTAAGTATCAGGATACGTGAAACCCCATGATCGTCCATTTTTATAGCATCAAGAACATTGTGCCTGGTCTCAGCTTTAGAGAAAACAGGTGTATAACCAACACCAACGATACCATACTTGTTCATCGACTTCCGGCTATATCCTTTGGGCATCGAGGGGTATATTTGAAGTGTAAAGGTAGCAAGTAGTAGAACCCCTTCGTCAGAGTTCATGACGCAAAGCACAACTTTTCTCCCACCATTATCTCTTCCTATAGCAGCCGCTGCCGTCGATGCGCTGGAAGCGTGCAAGGTAAACACTCGAGGTATTTTACGTGTTGGATGGCTTGCTTGTGAGTCTGAAGGGCCTCTGAACGTGTATGTATCCAGCTTGCTCATGAAGACTTCGTTTCGTAATCCCTCTCCATCGTAAATTCCAAGGCCACCCATTCCAATGCCCAACGCGCCCATGTTGAGCTCGTTCAGCAGCTCATCTACAGGCTGATCGTTATCAACCAGCATGGAATTTGCTGGTACAGCAGGAACTGGTGGAGCACTAAATGAAGCACCAATCGAACCAGAAACATCAGAAAACCTTCCACCCCGATCATGGTTTCCAGATAAGTCTGCCCGAGCAACCAGAGATGACACTCGGCGACTAGTTCGTTTCCCCCCAGTCTCAAAATCATCACCTAATCCGGGAAGCGAGCTCGCATCGGATGGCCCCAGCGATTCTCGGGTGTTTGCTACCGTTCCAGCAGATGTGATAGAGCCGGGACCTCCACCGGTAACCGGTGTCGTAGCACCTGTCCCTGGGCCAAAGGAGGATCTGCGACGAGCTGAAGCAGTCCCAGAGTTGGCGCTAGGTGTCCGTCTCTGAGTATTTGTGGGAGGTTCTTGAGGAATATATCGAACACTCCATATCGTTATTTGAGCTTTCTCCGGATTTTTAGTAACCGCAAAAATCACTTCTGGGCTGCCATGGGCAACCGGATTCCCGGAAGCATCTTCAGACGCGGGAAACTCTAACTCCGAAGAAGGTGAGATAAAAATCAAATCCTCGGCGGATGGAGCGTTTCCGGGCGATACGATCAGTCCAACCTCCAATAATGGATCTGTTAAGGAGAATAGCCTAGGAGCATCTTTGACCGTATTGACCACCGGCCGAGCACTAAAGCTGTTCCCCGTAGAGAATCCTGGTATTGGTGGTGAAACTGAGAGCGCTGGCGGTTTTCGCTGTAGAATTAATCCTCGAGGGGCCGGCATAGCGTGCTCAACCTCAAACGGCAGATGAATAACGTGACTTGTCCCGGAAAGAAAATAGACAAAAGCCTGAGTCTTCAGTAAAACGACCAGTGCCCTTGCTCTCCCCTGCGATACAATCTCATCCTCTGTGTCGTCGGATGCAGCCGTCGCTCCACTTGTGTCTCCCCCCTTTGCCTTCGGGAAGTTCCCCAATTGCGCAGCATACGTCCTACTCTTTGAGTTCCATGTACTCATCCGTTTTTTATTTTGCCCCCCAGGTAACCAGTCCTGACTCTTTCTCTTATTACTTTCCCCACCACCCATGAGATATGTACCACCATCGTCCGGCGCTGAAGATCCCTGGGGGTGAACAACCGCATCCTGGGGATCGTCGGAGGGAAACCAGGTAAGTACTGCCTGAACTACTGGCTCCCCTTCGACATCGTAGCGAAAAACACGTCGTATTACCCCGCCTTGTGACCAAATTACAGCGTATCCGGTGACCAGGAGTTCTTCATGAGGAAGGCCGGAGGTCCAGGTATAGGAACCAGGGGGAGGCGGGTCGGGGAGGAGGGATTCGGTAATGCAATATGGAAGCGCAGCAGGAGTATGTAACCCAAGGGAGGCAATTCGAGACATATCTTCGGTCTTCTAAGATCGCCCTAATTCGCAATCAATAACTTTGGATTATGGTGAAGGTGCTGGATGACACTACGGTGGGGTTGGCGGAGAGCATACACAAACAAACGAACAAGCAAGGGAGTGCACACAGCTTCAACAAACGTGGTGCTCGGAAGAGGGTTTGAAAAAAGGGCTTGGGGGATCAGTTCGCTCCTGATATGATACAAGCTCATAGTTGGTGGAAATACTTTTGCCCAATTAACCCTCCGATGGAGATGTGAATTGGGGGAAGGCATGAGGGAGGAGGCTCTTTGGGATCTAATCATAATTTTGACCTAAGTTACACGTGACACGCATTCCAGAAAATGCGGCCCGCACCAGTGCACTGTCGCCACTCCTGCAGTGAGGACGTCTGCATACCCGAGTACGGCACCCCCGAGCCCATCACCTGTTCGAGTATATGCTTACAAACCTCTGTTCAACCTCCCTCATGCGAGATATATCAAACAATACAGTTCTTGGAACCTACACAAGTTTACAGAGATAGCGGAAATTTATTCAAGCTTGTCACGATACTCATAGTTGTTCGTCTCTGAACGAGACAGAGAAAGCCCACCATTCGGGATACAGCTATGATACTTGACTACATTACGGAACCGATGAGACCTAAGCACAACCCTGATACTCGAAACAAGAACTTAGCTTAAGAGCAAAAGAAATACAATACAGCCAACTATTTTATGCCGGGGAATCCTGCATAAATCCCACCTTTCTCTTCCCCTTCCCGTCAACAGCACAACTCCTAGTTGGATTCATTCTCTCGGCGAGTTTAGCTCCGGCCTCGACGGATTTAGTAGTCGCATCCAACTGCTCGTCTCTTTTGTCATTCCTAGATTCACCAACGTCAAGAAGGACAAGACGGCAACTAGTCGTCAGGAGTACCCGTGCAGGCTTGTTATGTTCCACATCTCCAGTAACCACACTCAAGTCCCCCACCCCAGCACCCCTGGTGTCCCAGCCTTCAAGTACCAGAAACTCTTTCTCGGCCTTCCCATCCTCACCACTCCATGCGATGCTATTAAAGCTGCCTGATCCAGTGCTCACGTTTTGCGCGGCTCGCTTCTTGATCTTGATTTCCTCGGCTTTCCAGAATTTCTTCAAGGAGGGGAGGACCAGGATTACGCCGCCGAAAACCATCGTGACGATTTCATCGTAGATCTTCAGGTTTCCCATCGTAGTTGTAGCCTTGCCCCTAGCAAGCGTAGCTTGATTCGAAAAGAAGCTACTTGCACCAATTGGCGTGACGCATAGTAGTCCCTTCAAGCCAATTCTCTCCTCGGGCTTGAGAGATCCGCTACGGCGACGTCGGCTCGTTATGCTCGTACCTACTGAGGTGACAGATGAAGCTCTGAGAGAGGGACTGCGGCCGCTAATCTCACTAGAATTTTCCTCGTGATTTCCATGACTTGGTTTTTTGTTGGAGTTATCATACCAGGTCTCTCCAACCATACCCCCAACAATGAAACCAGTGACAACGGAACCAGCCTCTTGTCCACCAGATAGTACGCCTTCCAAATCCCAGATCCCCCATTCACCATCCTCACAGAGTACCACCACACTCCGTCCTCCAGTGCACCACTCCGCCCCTAGAACCTTCTTCCGTCGTTCAGTAACCTGGGAATATGGTGTGTAAAAGCTACATAACCACGTCTTGGTCTTTGTATCTAGGATCCTGACAGCGCCTTTCCGGTCCGAGAGAAGTAAATGGTGTTTGCGAAGTAGTGAGTGAGCTGAAGTACTAAAAGCAAGCGAAGTAATTGGCGATTGTAAGAACATTGTAGTTGGTCGTGACGTTGGCTTAAAACTAACAGGAGCTAGAGAACCGCGTACCGGAGGAAGAATCGATATGCGCCAGAGCAGAAGAACACCATTGGTGTCTACTGATGAAGAAGCGATGACAACATCCCAGCCACTAGACTTATCTGAAAGCCGCGAATCAAAAGAGACATCATCAGAGTCCGGGTGGGCAAAGTTGAACTCATCCGAGGGCGCTGGAAGAACTGACAAGGACACACATTCGGCAGGCTCGCGGTGACCAGATACCCCACCACCTAAAATAACAATATGCTCGCGTTTCTTGCGAGAGGAGGGGGGTGAGAGCGGTAGCGTAATAAGACGAATCGTACGATCGCCACAGGCCGCTACAATCAGCATATTCCTATATAATAGCTTCTCCGCGATAAAATCAAGTTCGTTCTCCTGATTGTCGATGTCCTCTGTTGGCCCTTCGGTAGGCAAGATCGAGGCCGGCGGGAAAGAAATGCAGTTCACAGAAGTGCCTAGATGAATTGTGTATTCACAAGCAAAAGCTCCCTCCTCGGGCTCATCCTGCGCCTCCTCACCCTGTTGTAGATGATCATCTAAAGCCATCGTCTCGTCTCCATCCTCCTCTGGTTTTGGCAGCGCGCGCCACAAGACCTTGATCCCGGACTCATGGCCAACAATTAATATCTCTGAAAGCGAAGGTGGGCGCGAAGCGAGGGGGCGCGGGTAGAATTTGGATGTATAGGTGTGTGCATGCGAGAGTTGGTACGTTATTTGTTTGAAGGAAGGCGAAGGGGATGATATACGGGGTCGTGGCGGAGACATTTCGCTTGGGGCAACTTGAAGGTTGTTTGGGGAGACGTGTTTGTTTGTTCGTGGATGACAATGAGGCAAAAGGAGACTAGTTTGAAGTCCAATTTCCAATCATGCCGTGTCACTCGGGTTGCTGGTCTTGGCACCTATTGAATTCTACTAGTATGATACTGTACAGTACTCGAGTAGTCCAGTTTCTAGTTTCATGTTCAGCTTCAGTAGGTTTGTGGCTGGCAAAGTCAAGGATTCATCACGGGGTTGCTCAACCATTCTGATAAAGCAAGAGCCCGGGCCCACTCGGCACGTACCGATAGAAATGTATGACTCTATTTCGAGAACAGCACATCTCCTGTACCCACAGCAACCTCTCCTGGAAGAAAGAAGTTAATACAATGGACAGATAACAGAGGATCCTGCATTTATTCTGTGTGAAGGAAAGGGCTACAAGAGGCCTAAATGTTGAGGTGTCAGGAAATCGTGATGTGAAATATTTCGCACATTGTCCTGTAATATTTGGTAAGATTGCTATTAACCTTACTCCTCAACTCGTAGGCATTGTATAGTACGCCTCTTTCTTTCGCAAAGAATGAGTAGTGGAGCATTTGCTACATTATTGTATCGTAATAATTTTTGTTTTGGAGCCAGCCCGCCCTGGGCACTGGAAAATAAAGTTATGATGTTTTTAAAAATTTCACAGGACGTTTTTATTGGTATCGTATCATACGTGCCGAACACGCTCTAAGCCCCCGGCTTTGAGAGTAGTCCCGAGAGACTGCGGTATCATATGCACCCAGCTCAATAGCTAGTGAGTTATGTGGGAAAGCACAGGATCGAAGTCCTGTTGCAGAAATGTGCGGAGGGAAGGCTCCTCAAACCCTTTGAACCTGGCAGGATTGTGGGGATGTTTCCAGAGAACGGATACTTTATTTGAGGGAATCGCCAAATTGGAATCGGTAGCTCCAGAGCTAGAGGAGCTTATTTTGTAGGTCGTTAATATTATGGAGGAGAAAACCTGGAGTATGATATCTATCCTAAAGTATCAAAGTTTACTATCACGAGAACCAAGTCTATTTATTGCAGAATTTCTCAAGCACCATCATGCATGATTTCCTGGTTGGTATTAGCACTGAGGCTGCAACATCGAGGAAATAACCGAAAGGATCTTGAAATATGCAAGCAGCTAGGATGCAATTGTGCTTTTAAATGAAGCCGGTGTCTTTCCAGAGGAGAGATCACTCGAAACCCAAGGCAAAGGGCTTAGCACTTGGGAGCACCCTTAATTCACAATCCAGCTCAGAGGTAGCTAGCGGCTACTCCTTCCGGTCTTATTAAGACCAATAGAACGCTACCAAGGGATCTTCTCCCTTACGAGAGACTGCGTCAGAAGCAAAATATATATATGATACCTACAGCGGGGGGCAAAAATACGTTCACATTTTTTAGGTGTTTGGGCTTACTAACAATGTGAACGTATTTTTGCCCCCCGCTGTATGATACCATGTCCCCCCTCCGTCCTAAACATAAATCAGGACGAATCTCATGTCCACGTAGCAATCCACATCCGAGCACTGGACCAGCGCTCTCGTGAGCCTAGACCAACTTTACAGGAACATTACTCGTGCTTCTCTGCCAAGTTTTGCCTTCCCCATTTGGAGTAGCGAGTTCATGTCGATCGCTTGACACAAAAGAGGTAAAGTGGACAACTGATATCACAATTACCAGGTATCCTGACCTTTTAGAGAATTCTGTAGCCACCAGTACAAGTACAGAGGTGGAATTGCCAGGGTGTTTTCTGTGACTTCAAAATCCATCAACCATTAACTTTTCCACCGAGATTCACAATGCCACAAGGCAAGAGTCTTTCTAAGTCAGTTCGAGCAGCAATTGTTGCACTACACCTATGTGCCCGCATGACCTTTGACCAGATAGCTGTTTCTCTAGAGGTTGGAAAAGAAACAGTACGCCAAACCTATAGAAGAATAGAGGTAAGTAGTTAAAATACCAGGGGGGGGGGTCAATGAACATGGGGGGTCAATGAACAGGCCATGCAAAATCACCATTTGCCTCTACACTTTTAGTTGCATTATTCGTTGAGCCCCTGTGTTCGTTGACCCACTTCTGGTCTACCTGCAAGGAAGGATGTTTGTTGAAAAACTTATACTAATAGAATTGGATATAGGAGCGTTCTCAGCATCAGTGCAATGTACATACTATGCTAGCAACAGTGGAATTGGGTGACAAAGTGCATGAGGTGCCCGCCATACCACAGAAATATCTGCCTGGCTCTATAGAGTCCGATACGATGAAGCGGCTTGCACTACAGGATACAGTGCACCGGCTTCGCACATTTCCCGAAATTGCACGAGAGGCTGGAATTGATA